GTTTGACCAAAGCCACAATTCTCTATATCATTTAATTAAAAGCTTTCGTGTTTCAAAGCCGTTAGTAATATTCACGGCACCTAACGCCTGTGGAAGGGCACGGTCGGCAAAACAGTTAACTAATTTATTATCCATAAATGTCTGATCAAGAAGTTGATAAAACACGTCCTAAGGATTTTACGACCTCAGTATCCGCTTTAATCAGGATTGAAAGCTGGTTAGAATGTATCTTACCCGTATACAGTTTGGTAATCTAAAAATACGTAGCTAGTTTTAAAAAAAAATAATTGTACGGGTCAACGTACATTATTGTGCAACTGACAATGTGCAACGTCGCACCCTACATTGGGTACGTGCAAAATATATAAATTATAATTTTCAGTACAATAAAGTTACTCCGTGGTATCGGTCGAGTATTATTTCTACAGCATCTTTGACATGTTTCTGCATCACCTCGCTGATATCACATGACATATTCTGACATATTACTGTACAAGACAAGCAGCTCGGACAATAATCACATTTTCATACAGTTTTATTATGGAGTACAATACTCTACTTTTTTAACTATATACCTACTGTGAAAATGTCTTTTTTTATGATACCAGGTGACGGGACGAACAAGTCTTATGCGTGGTAGTAAGTGACCCGCCTATCCAAAACAGTTGCAGTGCCGCTCAAAGCTTTAAATCACAAAGACCTGAGCGATATAAGTAGACAAGTCTCATGTGGCTGTAATTTCACCAGCACTTTTGCCCTACAATCCGGAACGCATTAATGCTTATGCTCACATTACCGCTTGGCGTCAAAAACAGTAATGTGTACTACCTTAGACGAACTCTTTCACGAGGAGCTATTCACACAGGTGCTCTATATGTGCCTGTAATTTCACCAACATCCAAACCCTTCAATACTGAACTCTGCTCACATTACTGCTCGGTGGCAGAAATAAGAAAAGTGACAGTATTTTCCTGGACGAACTCGTTAACATGGAACTCTACTGATACTAATTGTTTTTATTGTCTTTCTCAAAGCTCCGGTACCTATCTGGAGGGTGCTATACGTGCACCCGCGGCGGTTCACCTAAGGCACTAGCCTTTCAGAGAACCGGATGAGTCCGTGCAAACTGGCTGATCCGGGTTGGGACCTGAACTGTCCTAGTGCGGGTTCGCTCGCACAGGTCATAGTGCCCTTCCCGCATAACCAAGAGGTTGATGAGGAGGGGCACTATAAAAAAAACTTATGTAGAAAGATATGAGGCTGTCTTTCACAAAGCAACCGTTAGTTGTGCAATGCGCAACGGGAAGTCAGCTTGCCTATAGCTCCGGTACCTACCTAGAAAATAGGGAGTGTTCTGTACGTGCTCCCGGGGCAGCACACCCAAGGTACTAGCCTTTCGAGAACCGGATGAAATCAGTGCAAACGGGCTGATCTAAGGTCTGGAAAGAAAAAAAGGCCTCTGTGCGGACTTGCTTGCACCGGTTATAATATATTCCCGTACCACCAAGAGATTGATAAGGAGGGTCACTATAAACAAAACTTATGTAGAAAGATAGAAGACTGTCTTTCACAAAGGAAACTTACACTCATATACCGACGGACCTCACATGTTTAGACACACAAGATACTCGGATTAATAAGTGTTTTAGATCACCACACTCTCACTCTATATAATAGATGCAAGAAGACAAAAAGATACGTCTAAAAGGTTTATAGTAGAGACACTCGGTCGCTCTTTTCGGAACACGGACGAAACCTTAATTTAGTAAGCTTTTCACTTTGTCTACTGCAAAGCTTTAGTTCTCTCTGAGAATTTCGATTAGCATGTATTTTCGAGGCTTTGAAGATGATGGAATAAAACAATTTAAAAGGATTGCAGTCTCATTTAATTTATCATGTTGTATAGTTAAACTAAGAGAGTTACATCAAAACACTCACTGCGTAACAAATTGGACTGGAAGATATGTAGAATACCAGCGATACGTTTTTGTACCTATAGGTAAGGTTTATTGCTTGGTATTCCTTACTACCGATGATTTTATTTCATGTCACCTTTCCTGTATCAATTTATTGTGTACAATTACAAATGTATTGAAAGGTCTGCAGACGAATTTCAGTTTTAATTAAAAAATTACCTTCATTTCTTTGGGATAAGAACTATTTTTGTCCAAAGTTTCGATACTTTCAACAACATCCTTTAACATCCTTTTGTCTGCACAGTGAACTGTATTAATTTTTTACATTATCACTTTATTCACTTTCTCGTAGATATAGAATAAATACAAACGAGATATATATAGATAGAGATAGATAGAGGCACGCTAAAAAAGGGTGAATTATATAATAAAAACCGTTTATATGAACCACACACTGGACACATACCATATTTACATATTTAATCGAAACATAAATCCTTTTTTTAAATTAAACTTTCAGTAGGGCTAGCACGATAGGGTGCGACTAGCGCGAGAGTGACATAAAGCGCGAGAAAATGCTAGTCTCGCATAGAGATCTCGCGCTTTATGTCACTCTGGTATATTGTGTGGCTAGTTATTCATATATTGAATATTGTTATCATAAAACCAACCTTTAAATTAACCTTTTTTTAGCTTTCCTCTAAATACGTCCTTGAGTGCATTAGGATAACTTTGATTACCAGTTAGACTCAAAATCGTGCAAAAAACCTATATTATATACGTACAGCATGGACATGCTTATGGTTATACATATACATGGTTACGCAAAAAGTTATCATATTAATAAAAAAGAATAAGGTTAGATTCAAATCAGCGGTAGTAAGGTAGATCTAAGTACAATAACATCTAAAAGTGAACTGGATATGTTTCTTTCGATAACGAAGCCCATCTAACACGAAAATGTAAATCTAAATGCCATGTTGTTAAATATTATAATATTGTCATTTCTTTTTTTTTATAAATTAGAAATATAATACTTTACACGTAGTTCACTAGACAATTGTAGTAAAAACAACTTAGCTTTTACATTAACTTTATAGAGCGCGTCGCATAGCAATTGTACGGCGTAAAATAAAAAATTAAACTATAAAATAAATTTGATTTATACATATTTTAGTGGTTAAGAAAGTCTTTATATGTTTAGTAGTTATTAGTATTACATTTTGCAATTTATTATTAAATATTATATTTAGCAAATTATTATTTATTTATCAACTGGTTCGGCATTTCAAAAATATGAAAAAATTGACAGCTATCAGAAATACGTATAAATATCGACATCTTTTGTTTGAAAACTCGCTTTGTTATAGAAGATTTGATCAGCTGTGCTATTCCATAGAATGAAAATTAAAAACCTATGCGAATTTTCCAAAACCTAAAACAAAAATTAATAAATCAATTCCCTGTTCATGGGTAACTTTTAAGACAGTTTTCTCCACTTAACTTCGGTGGCAGTTTTTATTATTGAAGTATTCGAGTATACGATCGTGAAATATTAAACAATATTTCAGGATACTGCAATCAAATATTTAGTAACACTTCATGATAATCTTCTAGAATATTTAAATAATAATAATTGCCACATAAATTAGGTAGAGAAAGTAACCTAAAAATTACTCTCATAAATTCTGTGTACTTTACACAGTGTCTAAGTTACTTTCCAAACCATTTCAAATACCAAGTGACGCTTCCCTTATGGAATAACTTAACCCAAACTTAGAAACAACTTAAGAGCTTACGAAAAATCTCATATCGTGGACATTGTTAGATAAGAGTAAAACGGCTTGTAAAATAATCTAGTCTAGTTGAGTATGTACATATATTACAAAGTGGCAAAAGTATTCTAAGTAATATTATTGTTTGAGAGTAAATTTTTAGATGTAGCATGAAAAACAGGTAATTATAAAAAACGTAAGGATGGAGTAAATACATAAAATATGTTATTTTTTGTGACTCTATATTTGAAGCTATCAGCGGAAAAGTAGTGTAACCCCATGAATTGCATAAAGAACATGAATTTAAATAATGATAGCTTGTAAATTAGCTAAATTTATTTTGAATATAGTTGTCATAATATGGAGAATATATAATTATCAAATTTCTTATTACACTTGAAAATAGCATTCAAATATATAATAATTATTATGTACTTTAGTATCATCTAAAGTATTATTGTAGAAAAAAATTAAATGTGGTTTACACCACTTTTGCCCTGAAACCCTCATTAGTTCGTGAGCATTACATTCAAATAGCGTGTAAATAATATTTAACCTAGAATAGAAGTCGAAGTTATAAGTAGAAGGTATTAAAAAGAACATAGGAGTTTGCGCCGAGTGGCCTAGGTCCAATACACCATTTTTATTTATTGACATGACATAATTAAATAGATAGACAGGACCTACGCCACGTAACAACAAATATTATTTAGAGCATAAAGAACAAATTACTCCACCTTTTACAATTTATGGTATTAAAATTTAACATTAAACTCAAAAAAAATTGCTAATAGAAGTACTTTTTCCTGGCGTAAACATGAACAGTTTAAAATAATATTAAGGTAAAATGAAATAAATAAATAATTACATAACTTATACTTCTTATTCAGTATGATATATTGTTTCTATGAGAACTATTATACAACTATGGCACTGAACATTAAAATTATAATCTTCCGGAGTATTAAGAAAAAAAAATCAAACCTACTTAATAGTTTCACACTTTAAAAAAACATGCGAAGCGAAGATATGAGTAAGTCTTATCAAAATATTTAATAAGTAATTTTCATGTTAGTTTTCTCTACCTAATTTCGGTGGCAATTTTTATTATTTAAGTATTCAGGTATATTATTGTGAAATATTAATTAATATTTCGGGATACTACACTCGAACATTGAATAATATACTTCATGATAATATTCTATAATATTTAAATAATAAAAATTACCACCGAAATTAGAGAGAGAACTAACCTGCAATTTACCCTAATAGTAATAATCTCTTATAAATGGTTAATTTCTAACAAGTAATAGAGCCTCGGTATTATATTATGCTGGATTTAATGCAAAACTGTTCAATAAAAACATTTACCAAATGAAATTCGTAAATCAAGGCAATTCATTTATTATAACGAAATGGAATGTTAATATTAAAGCCTGTCAATCTACACTGAGTAACGATAAACATTTACAATACCCAAATATCATATTTTTACCATATCCTCAGCACTTATAATGAAACTATTTATAATATGGACTAAACTACAGTCTAGATATAATATTTCAGCTATTTATAACAACAAAATATTAAGAGTCTTTTTAATTATTCAGTACTTTCGCACAATCTATTCTCATTTTGTTTATAATACCTCTGATGTGTAATCCGAGCACCGATTTTTCAAAGATAAAATTGATTTAATCCTATTTAATTAGATCTAATAGCTATAAAGTAACATTTTATTATGGCAACATATTCATTTGGTTAGATATGAATATTTTTATCATTTCGTCTGAGACGTATAACGGGTTTGTAGAAAAACTTGTCCTTAGTTTATGGTGTGAAGGTTGAGGCAAATCGGAAAAAGTACGAAAGATCTTCATCTCGCATTTTAGTTAGGGATTATTTCTATAGAAAGGTACAATAATACACTAAAGGACCTTGAACGTAAAATCTACAAAATAATACTTTTTATATCTCACAATCCTTTTTATTGTTCTTTTAAGGACTTTGCAACTGACATTCTCTCAGTGTAGAGTCGAATTCGTCATTAATCGCAAAGTCGTATCGTAGTCGCCGGTCGTATAGGTGTCGTTAATTCTATGTGTCGTCCACTCGCTTTGACGGTTGCAACACAGCCTCGTAGGCCCGTATACAGAGCTGCCGGCAAACCCAACGGCAGTGACGGTGAACCTCCTGTTGGTAAAAAAAACAAACGGAAAAAAACTAAATTAACAAATGCAAGAGAAAATGTGGTAGTCTTAAGGCCTCATTCAGAGTGGCGGCAGGCACGGGTGCGTGTAAATCAAACGTTAGTTGCGTCTAAAGAGGCCGCGCGCGATTTTATCTATTGACTCGGTCCGCCCGTACATTTCACAGTGAAAGGTCAAGCGTCTAGCGTCTGTTTGCGATTTCGACGTGTGGATCTACCCGCTCGTAGCCGCTTCGGCACTGTTAAAGGGATGACGCCAAGACCCGCGCGCCCGCACCCCCCGCCGCGCCTTCACTCTGAATGCGCTCTAATGGTTTGATATACTGCCTCTCAAGCAAAAGCCGTGAATTCGAATACAGGCTCGCATCTCTAAGTTTTTCCGAATTTATGTGCGAAATTTAATGTGAAATTTACTATGAGCTTTTCGGCGAAGGAAAACATCGTGATGAAACCTGCACGTCGAAGAAGGTTCACAGCCCTCGGAAAAGGTGTGAAGTTCCCAACCTGCATTTGGCCACTGTAGACTAAACCCTCGCTTGAGAGCCGACGCGTGTCCAAAAGTGGGACATATAAATGTGTGTATAGAGGTGAGATTTTTTTGGATTGATGTTGTATTATACACGAAAAAAGATCATATTTTATCTCTTTTCTCGCCTTTATATTTATTTTCTTAGTCTTTACTCATCTCATTGTAATACATAGGGTGCACTATAAGTTTCCGGAACTAGCCACTTACAAACAATATTTAAAAAGTAATTACAACTTTTGAAAATGGAACTCTTTGGCTGTAGAATACAGTTTGTTTCATTTGACTGTCACTTGTTTTTACATTGTGGCGTCATTTTAGAAATTGGTTGTCTATATCACCATGGATTTAATTCGTGAAAATTTTCGTAGTATGATTTTCTACGACTTTTAGTGTAATTTAACAGTTCAGCGTTGCTTTACTCGGCTTCAAACTGCTTTTGGCGATGAAGCATCAAACAAGACGACTATTTATAGCTGATTTGCAAAATTCAAACGCGGGTGTGTGAATCTCAGTGACGAGTTTCGTGATGGTTGCCCCTCCACTGCTTTGAACAACAAAAACATCCATGCTGTGCGCCGTATGATCAAAACAGACAGGCATGTGACATACCATGAGATTCGGGCATCTTTAGGCATAGGTATAAGTCAAATACAATTAATACTACACAAACATTTGGGTGTGAAAAAGCTGTACTCTCGGTAGATCCCACACAATTTGACTAAGACTCAAAAAACGGATCGCGTCACTTGGTGCAATGCCATGCTTACCAGATTCAACGAAGGGGCTTCAAATTTGGTGTGGAATATAGTAACAGGTGACGAAATATGAATTTATAGTTACAATCCCAAAACAAAGCAGCAATCGAGCGTATGGGTATTTCGAGATGAGCCGAAACCAACCAAAGTGGCGCGAGTGCAATTGCCTTTAAGAAGATGATTGCTTCTTTTGTAATAAAACTGGACACGGGGCTACTGTTGCTTTGGAGAATCGTGGTACCGTGAATACTGATTGGTACACGACCATTTGTTTGCCGGAAGTTATTGACAAACTCCGTAAAAATAACCGTAAACGCCGTACGATAATGCCAGTTCTCACACGGCCAGACAGAAAAATTAATTTTAGAATGTGAACAACGTTGACCTTATGAACCATCCCGCGTATAGTCCCGACCTGGCTCCTTGTGACTTTTATTTAATTCCAAAAATTAAGAACCAGTTACGCGGTCAACGCTTTTCATCACCTGAAGAGGCTGTCGAAGAGTATGAAAAATATGTTTCAGAGATTGTCACGGAGGAGTGGCATAAATATTTTCAAAATTGGTTCATTCGTATGAAAAAGTGCATTAACGCAAACGGAGAATATTTTGAGGAACAATAAATTCATTTCTGACCATTTATAGTATTTTTATCTTATTCATTCCGGAAACGTATAGTGCGCCTCACGTAGTAATTAATGGTCCAGATAAAAATGAACTTAATGTCCATGCGAGATGTCATGAAACGTCAATAAATCCAAATCGTAATACAGATACGAATATGTTGTTGCAGGACTGGCCGGATTGTAGTACAGGTATAAAAGTTCTCTACGTAATAAAATTACAGCGACCGTCTGTTTATAGAGATCTTCTAGAAAACATCTTATTTTAGCAGTGTATTACGTTATCGCAGTAGTAAACAGTTTTACAATCTAGCCAAGCAGAAATATTGAAGCTAACTTTCCTACTGGAAGGTTCACGTGGAAACTAAAAGTAGTTTATCCAACTGTATAGTTTATTGAATTACTTAATTATACCCTCCTATCTCTGAGTATTACATAGTCATCCTTCACGTTTTGTAAATTAAATTAATACAAGGTAATTAATAAAGAATTGCTTACTTGTCGATCCATCTACATCAATACAAACTAAAAATGAGGCTATCAGTATAAAAGTGGTGTAATCCACATTTAATTTTTTTTGTACGATATTACTTTAAAATGAAAAATGTTTTTTATACATAAAAATTGAAACCAAATATAAAATAATTATGTACTTCAGTATTATTTACAGTAATATTGTAAAAAATATGGGTTACACCACTTTTGCGATGATAGCCTAAATAATTAAACAAAAAAAAAAAATTAAAAAAAAACCATATTGTAGTTTGAAAATATCTAAATAAAATATGAAATTCATACAGACTTTTTACCCAGGTCTCGCTATTTATAGCGTTCTGGGAAAATGTTAAGACGTTCGAAGCTCGAATTACAAATCAAAAACAAAAAACGAACAGTCTGCAGGTCAAAACCCATTATAATGGCCGCACAAAAATATCGGCTGCGTTAGCATTTTCTTTCAATAAAGCTCTAATCATTAAAGACGCTACTAAGGAATAAATTGAAAAATATATAAAGCTAAATCAATGACTTACCAATCCAAAGTTTCGGGTTCGACTTCGAGGGTACCAAAGGTGACTGCGAGTACCCTCTTACGGGCGGAGCATCATCTACTTGCAGCATGGCAAGCCTCTTCCTTCTCCTAATAGTAGCTGTATGCCACAACCCGTCATCGACGCGAATTTTAGACTCTAGACATTGGAACCAATCCTCGTGAGATGCAGTATTAAGTTCCTTTACATCAGTGTCCGTGTATATTAGCTGCAATTTCCCATCACTAATACCAACACCAATGAAGTCTCTTGGCCGTATACCGATTTTCCTTCGCCACATCAGAAGTCCGGAGTCGTTGTGTGTTCGAAATTTGATTTCGTACCTAATGCCACGGACGCCGGGATTCCTAAAATTATATTCTTGAGTTACAATACAAGCTAATGGAACATATTTCTTTATGTAATACGAAACTACCTTAACTAGCACAATTCTACTTGTTAAAGCAAACTCGAAACACATATGTAGTTCATATGTGAACCGCAATACTGTGACTGAAACTTGATTTCCTGTTGTTATATACATACAATCAGCTAATATGACCTTAGCAATGAATGCAACTGATAATTACAACAAACGCAATAATGATATATATTAAAATTAATCTAAAATCAGCATAAACTGAAACCGCCGAAACATTTTGATTAATTAATTCATATAACAGAGCAAAGAAACCAAACTGTTATATTGGATTAAATTTAGTACAAAATTTTGTATTATTACAATGTAAATACTCGAATGTAATACAAAAATACTCGTTAATATTGATTTGAATTAAAAGCAATATATGACAAAACCAAATTACTGATAAGTGGTGTATTTTTGATAATAGTTACAATAAATAATTCGTTGTCTACTGTGGGCCTAATTATCTCTAATAGATTATCTTTGATCATATTTAATATTTGTTTTTTATCCATTATAAAACAATTTTAATAATTTTTCATGAAAAACGTGTATTACCTTACCATAGTACTTAAACAAGTAAAAAATGAGGCTTGAGAATCGTCTTTTGACAAAACTATATTTGACTTATAATCTAAACCAATAGTGACGCATTATATCAAAACAGACGCAAACGACTAAACGTCCTAAATAAAATCATAAAAGCATTTATTCAAAAAGCACCCAGCAAAAAAGAAATATGTAGGTAGTTAGAAAAAGATCTTTACCTAACTTACTGACAAAGTAATAACTTGAGTAAGAACTATATTACGAATTCTTTGATGTATCCTTCGAATGTTATCTTATATCGTAATTTCCATTACCAATGTCTGTGTTAGTTTGTAAGCTAGAAACAAGAAGTTTAGTTAGTAAATTTATTAATAGGTCGAACTACAGTAGACGTAGGTATTTGAATATTGTTATGTAAGTTTTGTAAGGATATAGGTAGCTATGGTTTAAAAATGAGATTAAAGTACGTCTAATGTAGTACTTATATAATTATTTGCGTTGGAAAAAACTGCGGTTGTACTATAAATTCAAAATAAAAAACAGTAAGAAAAACTCCGTAAAAAAGTATGTGTGACGTCGACCTACGTTATTTTTATTTTTATTTTGATAACCATAACAGAATTTACATACATCGGTTAAAATGCAGCTTCAGAGAAAACTAATCATAATGTGATCTCGTAACAGAGCGGTTTTATTAGAGAACACAAACATCAATGTTGCATTAGCCATTTCAATACTTTTAGAGGAAACACGGCATTCAAAAGGTAAACGCTTTGAACATTGAAAAGGTTACGCTAGCATACAAGCGCAAATATCGTTTAACATCGATGTTCAAGTTATCGGAAAAAGAAATAAATCGTCTAAAATTTTCCAAATTCTGATTGAAACTTAAAATGTGATTTGTCAGCCTCCAATAACAAAACTGTATACAGAAACCTACGAGTTAAGTGGATTATGCAGATGTAGAAACAGGAAAATCATAACTCTCACCTGCGGCTTCCCCTGCTCCGGTACGAGTAGTAATTGTTTCCGTCGAATTTGATGGGTGCTCCATCATTTAGCATGCCCACGTTTTGTGGGATTTCGCAGTTACGCCCTTGATACCCGCCTCGGCATAGACATTTGTATTCGTTTAGTAATGGTATGCATGAGCCATTATTTTTGCATGGCGTCATTCCTAAAAACACTGTACAGATTACTGTTAAATCAATAAATGTTTGGATATTTGGTACGTAATAATAAATTTATAAAGGTTATAATTGAGGGGATGATAAAAGAAAATGAAAGAAGAGGAAGACCGTAAAGAATTCGGTGAACAAATAAAACAGAAAATTGTAGTAAGCAACTACAAGAAGGTCAAGGAGCTGGCTATGTATCGTAAGGAATGGAGGAAACTACGTCGATAAGAGCATGGCTCTTACATAAGATGATGATTCAATTTATAATTACCGTGATTCACGAAAGTAATAATTAATGAGATCGTTATAATAGTAAATTTAAATATAAATTTAGTACAAATTGAAACGTTTTGGAAATATATATATATATATATATATATGTACAGTAAACAAGGAAAACCATCCCATCGATAACTTTCAAATAATCGAACATATTTTGATCGCATAGCGGTAACGCCGCCAATTAAGTACACGATTATATTTACTTTTACTTTGATACAATTTTTATACGTGTCACTAAATCTGTATAGCATGTAAGCTCTTCGAAAATATTTTAACTTAAGAATTTAAGGTAGAATTTTGCTCACCATCGCCACAAGGCGGGCCAATATATTTCGTAACGCCAGTTGTAGCGCAAGGCAGCCGATCCTCATCTTGAACTATGGCACACTTAGGCATGTCTCCAGTGTAGAGGGCTAGTGGGTTACCATTCACGAAGACCTGTTGCACGGCTCCTATGAAACTGCTGGTCACGCCTGACATTTTGTGAGGGCGGACGTAGGCTCTAAAAAGAAGGGAAACTTTGGTGTCTACATAATGGAGAATCAATCACGACTGAGATTGATAGTAGTGACGAATCTTGAGCGAGAAACGATCGGGTATCTGTTGAATGAGCTAAGTAAATTGGACACCATTTTCGGTTCAAACTGTTTATGTTCAATTGAGCAAACAAAATAAACGAGCAATCAATTATAAGATAAATTAACCTATAGACTTGTCATCGATATTCAAAGGTTTTAAATCAAATAACACTGAAATATTGTAAAGGACTGGATTTAACTAGATTTGTACAGCTGCTTGGGTGACAATACTACATTGCACCATCACGCATATTTTATGACGGAGACGAAGGATGGAGAGCAATGTGGAAAATTGTTGAAATGTACTTACGGCAGTGATCCAATAAACAATGGAAGAGTAAGCTCCAAGTGTGTGAGAGGCGCTGGAGATTCACCTTTTTGAGTGATTTGTTGATCTAGTTGCAAGCTACCGTGCCGACCTATCCTGGTCATTCGAGCGCGATGCCATCGGCCTTTAGTTACTGGTATTGGAGACCTGGGGTTATTTTAATAATTAGCAATTATATATTAAGCTAGTCATACAAATTAATAATATAATATTAGACAATCTCACATACGTTGCTCTGATTCCAAGGTAAGTAACTAAAGCACTTTTGTTATGGAAATCGGAAACAACGACGGCGCCACAAACACCCAGACCCGAGACAATATAGAAAAGTTAGTTTTTCTACACTGACCCAGCCGGGAATCTATCCCGGGACCTCAGACGTGGTGACACCTTGAAACCAGTGTGCAAGTGACACGACCATGGAGGTCATCAATTAAAATGTGTTTTGTTCTTAAATTAATTATTTCATAAATTTATATACACATAAATCGTGAAACAAGGCAATAAAAAAGTATGCAAGACAGAAATAGCAACAAACGATCCCTAATTTAAAGCTTGAGTGGAAAACATCTAAAATGAAAGCTTTACTTACGTGATGTTAGCGACCCCGCTCCCCAAATTGTACCTAAACTGTAGGTACCCATTAACCAAGTTAATCGCTATGAAATCCCCCTTAGCTTTATTAGACTGGCCGGTGTAAAGGAGCATCCCCGAGAAACGGTTCGTTAAAAACCAGATTTCAATGCGGAACGCTTTACCTAGCCCTTCGAGGGGCGGTAATTCGACGTAACTAGTTCCGTTAAATTGAGGGGACAACGTCTCTTGGACTACGTTTACATCTGTAAACAAATGAAAATTTAAAACAAATTATTTGGGAGGAATAAATTCAGGTGTTCCTTTCACATCATACCATTATTACAAGTATTTCCGTTGGAACCAATTTCGCCACCAAACAAACAGCGGCAAACGTGTCCACCCTCCGGTCCGATGTCACACAATAGCCCCTCATCATACCCGCAGGGATTCGATTCGCATGGATCTAATCTTTCGGCACAATTGGCTCCTTGAAATCCGATTGGGCAGCTACAAGTATATTCGACTGTTGATCCTTCCACAGCTTTACATGTGGCACCGTTTTTACACGGCATGCTCATACACGGATTCGATTGACACTCTCGGACGTTTTCTATACCGACGACCAATGAATCTGGTCTCCCCAATTTCTTTGTAACTTGATGACGTATTATTCTCAAGTATTTCACACACCCAATAAAGCCGCTCCGTGTGCCGATATTATCGAAAATCCTGGACAAAACAACGGATCGGAATGAAGCACGTATAATGGTAATGAATATGGTAAAAACAACCGGTAAACGTTGCATATTTACCTAGTGAAGTTGGTAGGTACACTGCCAATATAAGTATCTTCAACTAGATCAAGAGCTTTTAAATGACCGCTAGATTGGCCAGCGACGTCTTCCATGTCATCAACAGATAAGATCCCGTCTCGATGATATCGCTTTGCAGAAACTTTGTGGTACTCATTCAGACTTATCTTCTCTAGAGACGTCAGTACTATCGGTCCATTTCCGAGATTGTACCTGTTTAAAAAGAAAAAGTAAATAAAATGCCGTTGCACAATCTCCATTAGAGTAAATAGCGCTGTTGCAAAAGTGAGAAAAATTGCTCACCTAAATTCCAAATATCCGTTGACCAGACCAAGTGAAACAAAATCGCCCGTGCCGTCAGCTTTCTGCTGATTGTACAATATAACGCCGTTCTCAGAGAACGTTTTAAATTCGATATCGATGTTCAATTTATGATAAGCTTTCAATGGTTTCAATCGAATATACGACGTGCCGTCAAAGGACGGGGTATCAATATAAGGACCCAGAGCGTCGTGAGTAAGGGACTCGCAATTTGAGCCAGTGTACGGGCTAGAACAGACGCAAGTGTAAGTTGATCCAGGCAAATCTATGCATGTCCCTAAGTTGTAACAGGGTTCCGACAAACACGCGCTGTATTCTTCCGTCGTTTCTTGCGTGATATGTTCTGTAAAAAAATACAATACTTAGCCTAATGACGATAGCTATGTATATATAACGATATGGAGCAATGAATTCGTTCTATACTTGAAGGTGTATGGTGTTATATTTAAATATTTATGGAAATTTGTGATTGAATACAAAATAATTGGTTCATATCACAAACAGCAATTTTAATATATTCTCAGTATTTTGTAATGGTACGGTAGCACCTTTTTAATCACAATATTAGTAACATAAAATATTAATCTTAAAAAGAAAATTGGTCTATTAGACTTCAACAACAAAGGTAGTACTTAATAAAGTTCATCATAGAAAAAGAAATAAAGATGTCACAGAAAAAAATTAAGTAAATAAATAACTTTTTGCACATTATATTTTTATATTTTTAATTGAAATGTTAACTTTGTAAAAGATATTTCCCACATGCTTTCCATTATCGCGTTGAGACCACATTTTATGAGTATCTACTGGTTTTGGTATAAATACGAAATAGTTTAGACTACATTACATCAAATAAATGATCTCCGACAAGTGCTTAAGACAACAGTTCTGCAAGCGCGCTCCGTACAAAGTTTGATCCTAATTTAATATTAACTAATCAAACTTAATGACATTCAGTAGACACCACATGGCAACTATATTAAACTATATGTCACGGGTTGTATTTTGTCTTGATGTTTTTGTATGGAAATTTGCGAGATTTTAGTTTTAATAGTGAAACCTACACGGGCTTTAAATGTAGTAATAAGCATTCAAAAAACAATAGCACGTTTTCTATAATTAAAACTAAACATGTAAAATATGTACCATATTTTTGGAATAAAAATGTTTTACTTATTTGCAGAATTAAATTTTCTTACCACAAGCCTTTCTATGAGCTGTAGGGGCGTAACCAGGACGACAGACGCATCCGCCCCTCGCGCAATGAGCGCCCGGTAATACAGCGCAGTCTGCATCCTCCGTGCAAAGATCCCCTAATAAGGCCCCTACTGCACCCACAGTTGCCGTGGTGGCTGTTTGTAAACCTAACGTAAACATTATACATAATGTTATGAGACGCAACATTCGTAAGTAGTTGAATAATATCTCTACAAAGCCCTTTTACCAAAATTTTATCCAGAAGAAAATCATGAAAGACAAAGAAGACAATAAATAAACTTAGTATGTTCCGTTGAAAAGGTGCACAGAGTAGCTAGAAACCGGTAGTGAAGGCTTATAACTGTATTGGATATAGGTAAGTTACGTAACCAAGCTATGGAAGTAAATCAGAGCCAAACGTTTTTCCTGAACGCTTTCCGGTTACGTGACCTAAATTGTAAGTTTCTTCAACTAATAAGCGAGATAACGTGTTAGCAAAGTTTGTGACGATGGAGACCATGTCACAAAGTAACGAGCGTAGACGAAAATCCACAATATTGGATAGGCAAGTGATATATATATGTGCGTGTCACACGCGGGTGCGTGTCGATCGTTGTCATTCCTTCAAAAAAGGAGAAGGCGAGAATCTAACCGCCTTCATTCCTATCGCACGCATATCAATCGACCACAGAACGACCAAAATATGAACTTAGATAAATAAAATCCGGATAATGAAGCATCACACAGCACCTAATACTCTACTATCTAAACTGTATTTAAAATACCCAACATAATTTGAAACATTAATTTGAATATATTTACTGGTTACTTAATCAAAATAGTTACCCGTCGCAAAGTAAATACCTACCCGCATGATAATAATTTTGTTCTCAAAACAAGAGGTTAATTTGCGTTCAAATCTGTTTTTGGTCGAAACTGAAATTTGTTTCGGAAATTATTATTCGCTTTATCGGGACTAGTTGTCAGATATCTGTACCCAATAGCACTGATGTTGTTACATAAGTTGCTAAAACAAGATAGATATAAAAAAGTAAACAAGTGAAAGTTTTTAATACGACCTTACCTTTGAACTTTTGTCCAGAGAGAATGCCATCAAAATCGCTGGGGGTTTCCTTTCTCGTCCAATCGTACTTATTGTAATACTTGTCTGGATTTAATAAATGTCTAGTAGATTTAGAAGCGGCGCCGTCGTCCTGTTGCGTGAACTGTATCGGTGATGAAGGTCGAGGTGGACCGGCCGTGCCTGCTAGTTCGCCCAACTTGCAAGGCCCGAACGCCTGAACCACAATGTCATCTTGCGTGCGACACGCTTGTAGCTTGAGGTGGCACTCCGACTCGTAAGTTTTGCCATCGCTCCCGCATACCTGTCGGTTTTTGTTTGGCGTAACTATTACGCGCCCACTTAAGTGGAAAGTTACACGAAACTTGGATGGTTTCTTCGGCGTAAAAAAAGCAAAGTTGGTCCGAGTTCAGTAGAGAAACATGACAGCTTTGAAAATGTAATTTTTACACCTAATGAAACTAACCTATTGGTTTATATAGTTTGTAATATTTTTAGAAAGTTAGCGTGTTTTTACAGCTAAGCATTTAATAATGTGATGTGTATTATAAAACTAATAGCAATAACTCTTGACAACTGTAAGTATATAAATAATGGTCGACACATCAAATAATAAAATTATTTTTCGTTGTATATTCAGTACACAAGAGACAAATTGACAGATTCACTTACCAACATGTTAGTCTCGCTATCAAGACAAGGTGCCGCAGCGCATTCACATAAAGCACCTCCGGTGCGCTCCGTGCACACCGCTCCAAAATAACATGATAAATCCGCACACGACTCCACCACGCCTCCAGTCTCCGCTGTAATGTTAGATATGTGTGAGGTGGCTGGAAATCTTCAGATACGCAAATACACCACAATATATAATTACTTGAGTAACGACACACTTAAGCTTTAAAAAATCCAACGTATGTATGTACAGGGTCAAGATCATATCAAGCTTGACTCTTAGATCAGATTCAACATTCGATAAGGACGTTCCAAAGTTCAAAATGTTAAGCTTAACGTGTTTTTGACTGCATAATAATACCATAATAACCTTTTACATCATTAGGGTACTAATAAAGAGGATATCCTCGCATATACGACTATTATTCATAAAATTTATACATTAGACAGTGTAAGTAGCAGAAAAATAGGATACCATTATTCACAAACTTATCCTCAAAATGGTTTTATTCATTACAGCAATATTTATTTTGAAGACTGGCCTATGAAATATGTAAGACTCGCTTGACAAGGGTCAGGTAATCAGGTCAACCCTCACGCTGCGAACGGAGACCCAGCAGTAAAAATACTCCGAGAAAGACAGAAATGAAAAGTAGTACTTACGATCAGAACAACCATTAGGGCCTAATCGACGTCTATGATCAGCACAAACGGTACATTTTTGCCCTTGTACAGCAGGTCGGCACACACATCGCCCCGTCATTTGTTCACAATCCTCTCTTACAGAACCAAACGCCGAACACCCACAAGCTAAAATCCATTTGATATTTGTCATTCATAATTCATTATTTCGAACAGAATAAATAGTTTGGCTATCGAGATAAAGATATCTATTCAATATGCTTATCATTTAGGATTTGCAAAATAACAAGCCATGAAATGTCAAGTTAATTAACACAAATCAAATAAGGGACAAATTGAATTTAGAAAACAAACACGTACGGATACAGCCGCTGTGGCCGGTCCCAATTCGGGGTAAGCCCCAGTATCCAGGCTCGCAACGGTCGCACTTGAGGCCACCAACTCCCGGTCGACATATACACTGTCCGTCCTCATCACAACGATCCGACACTGATCCCAGTCGATTGCAACCACAAGTCGAACTCGTAATTGGACAACCCTCCTCGTTAGGTCCCGACGCTGCGGTCGAACCGTCCAAACAACAACCGTACGCGCTGTCCGAACAGTGTACTACCTTCTTATCTTCAAATTGTTTCGTGTCGTCTGTAACAAAATTGCAAACCATACTACCACCGTTTATAAATAGTCAAGAAAAACTATAAAATCGAGGACAAACTCTTGAAACAATAACAACTAGCGTGATTAGGCCCAATTTCCTTGTAGTGCCTGGTAATGTTAGTGTCTTTACCTTTGCAAATGGTCAACAGTCCATTGTTATACCTACTGCTAGGAAGCGATAAAATACAAGTAAATATGCCTGAACATATATTACCAGCGAACAAGTTAGAAGTGTGTATTAATGTTGAAATGATATATTCCAGTTAGTAATAACCCAATTCCGAAAGAAATAAAGTTGCAAAAATTTAAATTCCTTGTTTTAACTCGGCAAGTCATTAGAAAAACCCGAAACATATAGGCGCTAAGTACTCACTTTTGGGGCAGCACCTCGCTGCAGTAATAGTAATGTGGCAGTAGCTTCCGACCGGACAGTCTTGACGGTGCGGTCCGTTACCACAGTCAATTTCAAGACCCGTTGTAGCATCAATCATAGCCTTGTTGTTACCGCATGGCCTTACTTCCATACCTGCAGTATAACAGTTCATTTCCGAGAGTCGAACAAAGAACAATAGCCTTTTAAACATTGAAATACAACTACCGACTATTTGCTACACAATAAATTTTACTACAAAGTTGTCTTATGAAATACATACAGCGATACATACCTTTGCAAAGATCCAATGGCCGCAATCTAAGCTCGAGTTGTTTTTGGCAGCCCTCCTTCCGCATGGCACACAAACTGGGATAAAGTCTAAAGTCGGACGCACAGACGGGGAAGTACTCGTCGTCGGGCGGACATTCGAAGAGACAGGAGCAGCGTGGATAACCATCGGAGCCCAGCTCACAACTCGCGCCGAAATCGCAACGTATGTCGCGGCAAGCGATTGGACTTGCCGTACCTTCTTCCGACGCACCCGAAGAATCCGTCGACCTTTCCTCCACTTCGGTCGTGGTCATCGCGGTCGTAGCTAACCACCCCCACCCAAATATTTGCGTGTTAGTCGAGCGATAAAGCGGAAAGTTAGTTAATTGATCGAGGATGGGTCGCTTTATTGGAATTACTGCTAACAACTGGGTTGATGACGGTCCGATGGTAAATATTTTGCCTGTGCCCATCCTTAACTTTTATTGATATTCAGAGACTATGGAGAGAAAATACCATTACCGTTCATGTTTTATTGGAACTGATTGTGAAAGTTAATATGTTAATAATTTAATTAAATTTACAGGTGTTAGTAAAAAAAACTTAAAAGTAATAAATGGAATTATTGAAACGTACTCATAGCAATCGGTGGAACCACGGCGAGCCTATCCTTGCAGTCGCCGTAGAAGATGACGTGAAGCGTCGCTGGTGGGGGTAATCTGCATGCTGCCTTTTGCAACTCGCATTCGTTGGGATAAGTTTGCATTGTGCTTCCACAGACGGGCTCGCGAGCTGCGCCAGTGCAGTCAGTTGGACACACGCATTCTCCAGCCGAACAGTGAGCTCCAAAAGAGCACCTCACGCCTTCACAAAGAGCTGTTGGCAAAATAACAATAACTTCAATTCTACATTGAAATTTCGAAATTGAGATACATAAGTAAATAGTAGCCGCCTTACAATACTATATAGTATTCCAGGTAATTTATTTTTTCTGCGACCTCGAGAGGTTACGACTTTGTAAAGCATCAAACTAAAGTTTACCGAGAAACGAAAGGCTGAACAGATAATGTCATTTTATCGGATGTTGGAAGTTTCAAGTAGCACCATCTCTCTTCATCACAAGAGAAAGTTAGACTAACTCACTCGCACGTTGAGGAACGAGAGAAGACATCCGTGCAAATTTAATAACGATTGTTTACTACTTCGCCGCAAAATAAAATCTTTGTGGATGCCACCGATTAATGCTGAACGAGAAAATAAAGACCCCGCATTCATTAAGAATAAGCAATTTCTATTCAAGTATTTTATAGAACAAACCTTATTCAATACGTTTGTGCAGTTATTTTGTTCCTACATAACGTAATTTTTGCCTTTGTGAAGTTGTGCGGGTAAGATTACGGGCACATGTGACTTGTCAACTCAGGGTAACGAACGTAATTTCAGTGCCCCTAAAATCTATGCGATTTATAGCTCTTAAGGGCACTGCAACATTTACGGACAGGCGTGTCGCTTACCACCAGGCGCACGACTCGTTATATAAAAAAGAACTATCTTTTATATAAGATTATGTGGGTTAATGAGTATGAGTAATATTAAAATTACTCATGTTCCGATGAGAAATAATTGTAACCTGTTTTCGTTAATAATTAGGTTTAATAATTAGAAAGGCCACGAATGGAAAATATTAATTACATCTTATTAAAACGGAGTCCGATACATAATTAGATACTAATATAAAATTGTAACTGGAACTATGGTTCATTTTAAGTAAGTAAATGAAAGATTATAATCGTGAAATTAATTCAAAAGCCATAAAACAAAATTATTATTACAAATCTGAACATAATTCTATGATTTTTATGAGCGGCATTTAAATATTAAATGGTAAGTATCTCAAAATACCTACCGTACCTACTGTCGCCGTCGTAAGCCCCGCGATCATTAAATACCTATGACCACAAAATCCAGTGTACATTATAATGAAAACATTTAGCATTCAAATTTAGCGCTATACATCTCATATGACCGTAAGGTATTTAGGACAATACTAAATCCCGGTTCCGTTTTTCATACAAAACGGAGGACATACTGGCTTAGACCTGAAGCATGTAATTATATTTTGCACCTTTTAATCTATATTGGACGTTTGGCGCTTTTCCCATTGTAGTTTGCTATATCTTAGGAGGTTATTACTTACGTATTTAACGAATAACTAACAAGTATGTACTTTCATTAGCTTACATATTTTTCGTTTCTAAGATACAGTTAAACATCGGCACAATAAATGCCCCATCTATATAATTTTATTACGTCTGTGTGATAATCTCCACAATGCCACGTATCGCTAAGAAAAAGAACGTCGATATTAAAACCTATAAGACCCGTTATATAATAATGGACTGTTCATAAATTATATATATATAACAAATATACCAAACGTAAGAAATAATATACAATATTGGAACGAAACCATAAAAGACCGCATTCAATACCAAATAGGTATGTAAACGAAATTCATTCCCTCATATCGGTCAGCTCATAAAGTATCCGTATGAACGTTAAAAAGCCGATTCCTAATCTGACTTTGTTTCTGGCATACGTTGCCGATGGAGCTCTTTAATCCCTTATCGATCTGTAACCCTTACAGGTAACCGCATAGCAGGTATATGTATTTCTACATTACATTCATTAAGGTAACTCAATTGATCATAATGCGCTTCGGATTCTTTAAATCGCTTTATGAAATGAATGAACGTGTTATTGAAAATGCAAATGATATTTAAGACACTTGCGAAATAAACCAAGTGGTAAGCTTTTATTATTTCGTTCGTAACATTTTAAGTCAAATCAATCAACGTAAAATCCAGCCAGACGTTTTATAATAATATTGTTTTCATCATCATCAACCCATTTAAACGTACGACTTTTGAAGTCGTTCTATTTTTCGAAGATATGAAGTTACCTACATAGTATCGACAACTAGGGCTTAAACCGTCTCGTAGAGCGCAATCGTGCCCATACCTGCGATGTATTTGGGTTTTAAATCTAATACTAGATTATTATGTAAATAATATCATTAATGTTTACCGACCGAAAGACGAAGTGGAGAAAGACCTCCATGCCCTGCACACAGAGAACTAGTAGGAGATGGCACTAGATAGGACGTGCTGGAACCAACTCGTATCGGAACCCAAAACCAAGTTCAGAGTTAGCAGAGTACGTAAGCATTATTATGAATGATACTCAACTATATACAAGGTCGATGACCTCTTGTAATTTTGTAATCCCAAGAGTCACTAACTACTATGGAGGTAAGAGCTTAAAGAAACGTATTCTGTACCTCTGTAATAGATAGTAAACGGCTTGCCAGACGCTATTAGTCTTGAAGTTAAAAAATGTGAATAAAAAAAATGTTAAAAGATTATTATTTCACAATTTTTTGTTGAATAGTTTCTAATTGCAAGCACATGGGATTTGTTAACTTCTGTCTCAGAGTGACGGGCGTAGTGGCAGTGCCCCTCAGATCTGAGCGATTTATAGCTCTGATTGGCACTGCAACTGTTATGGACAGGCGTCTCGTCACTTTACAACATAAAAAGAAATTAAATTTTCTACGTTGAATATATTAACCATTAGTTTATTGTGTTGATAGTCTCCTGCAACCGCGTAAAATTTTTGACAATTCTGTACACCAAATTTTACACAAAAATAAACTAAGACTAAGAAACTCGATTTGTAAAACCAAGTGAAGGGATAACCCTTCACTTGGTATCATAAAACAAATATTTAAGTATATTTGCCCACACTAAATATCCCTTTGTAACTTTTTATTCAATTAAGACTCGTTCGGATCTTGCAGTCAAACTCTATATATACAATTTTGTAGGACTAAACTTAGTCCTACAAAACTGTACATCAAGTTTGACAGTTCGACAACACTAAGTGTCAGTTTCTCACTTTTTATTCAATTGAGACTAGTTCGGATCCTTCAGATTAGCTTAGAAAATTTCACCACTCTTTAAAAAAAAAATTAATTGATTGGTCGATTTCATTATAAAATCAAATGGATTACTTAATTAGACTTAAAATGAAAATATCATGAAGCCAGATAAACAATTCAACTGCGACTATTTATTTACATAAATTTACAAAGTTATTTGTTCTCAAAGCTTTTAATTTTCTAAGTGTGACGGGTGGGACACTCACGACACCCGCCTGTTTGAGTTGATGGCTTCATTGCCAAGATCTAATATAGTTAAAACTAGTGGAGACAGACTTTTCATGAATTTCCTGATACTAAAAATCATCAGGAAAAATGTTGTCACGTTTTTATTGTCTTCTTTTATGTGTTAAATTTTCGTAATTATGAGAAGAATTATAAAAAGTTTGCTTACAAATGATGGATCTACATATAAACAGTGTATTTTTTTTAATTCTGTGTATTCAAATGTAACTTCTCCCACCTGTCACAAAAGGGCGTCCCAATCGTCACAATTCAACACATCAAATGTTAAACTCTGAAATTAAAGTAACTGTTATACCTAGTAAACATCGTAAAAATTCGAATCCATGAAAATACAAACATTTATTCAAAGTAAAAACGTTCAGAAGTGTGTCCCACCCATCGCTGTGACGGGTGGGACACACTTTCAAATCTTAATATTTATATTCCTATTTATGTACGCAATGCCCAACCAAGCTAAAATAATGACCCTTAGCATAATTGTTACTTTTACGAAAGCAAATGCCAATAGATTTCATATTTATTGGTTAAAATAAAAATATATATGTTTCATTGTTGACGGGTGGGACTTGAAATTAGTACTTATTGAAACTTTAATAACTGTTTAAAAATTGTGTATATGGTGAGGCCATATACACTTCCATGAAATCACTTATCACTGTTTTAAAATTCGTAAATTGTATTTTCTTCGACAGCAATAACTTTTTAGAAAGACGCACAAATAACCGCTAAAATTGTTGCTAACATTATACGAAAAAATGCTTCACTATGGAAAAATACAATAATTGTACAATATCCGATAAATCTCATTTATTTCTAATGATTTGATTTATTGGCCGTATTTTAGTCATACAATTAAAACCAAATTGTGTAATTTATTTTTTTTGAACCACGGTATCATTTTCGCTGAAATGGCCCAGTTGCTGTTTATAAATATTGAGTTTTCAAAGCGCTACCGAGATATAAGCTCATCATGATTCCCTTACTAAGAAACAGGATTATTAACATCATTTCGTGCTGTAAAACATTTTAGGGGTTAATGGCGTAACACTCAGGAAACGATACCAAGTTTCCGAGAACCTAGTCGCAGTTGTTAATTAATGAGTTTGTGGCCAAACAACATGATTTTAGGCACAATAAAAAGTTGTTTTATTAGTAAAAGCAAAGTTTTATTTCTTCGTATGAGGGTTATTACGATATTATATTAAATTTTTGTTTCAATAATTATATACGCTAAAGTTTACAATATCTTACACCATTATTTCATAATAAAAAATTCTGAGCGATTCCTGGGAAGGTAGAGTTAATCGCTTAGAAAAGAAATTTATTTTAATCTTGTGATAGTCATATCAGTAAACATAGCTGGAATGGAAAGTTCCAAATGAGTAGATAATTATGTACATATAGATATAAGGACGAACTTAGAGTGGTTAAAACTTCCAAATAATAATATACAATAATTCAATAAATAATCGAAATAATATAATAATCAATGTCTCTATATTACTTGCTAGCTTGTTAGTGCTTACTATTTTAATACTGGAAACTAAAAAGTGTCAGATATTACAACAAAAACTTAAAAGTTCATCTTTGGTATATTTATTATGTTTTGTAAAAAGTAATAGAAGTTATTTGTTTATGATGTTAGTAATACAGCCCTACAAGGTTGTTAGTATTTTACAAATAACTCTGTATCAGTAGAGTAATGTATTATATTTTTCACCTCTCTAGCTCGTAAAAGCTTTTTTCTCATTAGAAATCTGCGTGCAAAAGCGTTTTTTGCACGCCAGGGTGGAAAAGGTTTTTGAAATTCGAACTTGACGATGGACTGTGGTGCACCTAACTTTTTCTTTCGATAAAACATAATGCCACGTTCGAGTACACAACTTGTCGTACATTACTTATTTATGTAATATAAAAACGTTGTATACTTTATTCTTATTATTGTTCACATTAAATTGACAATGATAACTAATTGTGTTTATTACATTATTTTAATTCGTCAAATAACTAAAATAATTTCAATAATCACTTAATCATACAAAATAAAAGTAAAAGCAAGAATAAAAATTGATGAGGTGTACATTCAGAAGCATATATAGTATATATCGCATTCGAAGATAAACTCGCGTCAAACAACAACTTTGCAACCTTACATAACAAATAACTATTTAGTGTGTAGTTCCTAAAATAAGTGCCTTTATTTATTTCGCGAATATTGTAACGCATGTTAATCTAAATCAACTTCACAGTTTGAATTACCTATGCCATAAACACATAAACATATACTATACGTACAATAAGAAACTGTAATATATGTATATAATTTTCTATCACGTGTATTAATTTTAACTAAATACATAGCGAAATTAAAATGGCAGTCTCAGTGAAAATGATTTTTTGATATATCTTTCACTTAGAATCCCTATCGGTGAATTGATTGATTTTTTGCTGCAGATATACAATTATTGCAGTATACTAGTCTTTATAAATTCTTCATGAAACTTATTGGTTTGTCTTTAATAGTATTTTACGTGAAAATAAATAAAGGAAATAATATACTATACACGCCTAATGTAGAAAATGAACCTAAAAGATGTAAAGGAGTTTTTGAACTTATGTAACACATAAAATATTAACAAAATATGCTAAAATATATAAATAATTCAATAAAATCACTAAATATTTTTAACACCAACTGTACCATGTTGTCATATTGGGTAAAATAATATTATGAGAATTTAAGTTTATTCCCACACATTTAATTTTAATTTCGCTACTTGTACTCGTAAACATGTGAAGTATGTATATTTTTTCGTTATTGAAAAACCAAACAAATACTATTCTCGCATGTTAGACCCAAATCAAACCAAAAAACAAACCTAAAACATATACACCGAGGAATTCCCTAATTTTTGTATGCTAACGGGTGACTCACTAAAGGGACAAGCCCCACGTTGATTCACGGACAAAAGGGTTGGTTTCGAAACGTAATAAATCTTAATAAATAGTGACTCATTATCAAACCGTTTCATCAGATCGGACCCTGTATTTTCGGCTTAGTCCGACCTTTAATCAAAGTAAATATATAACGAATTTTATATCCGTTTTAATTAATGTAAAGATGATGTTTAAAAAGGGCGAAAGCTGAAGGGGGTTTCTTTTTCATTCCCTTCTTCTACTTACACAAATAACCTTGTTTGACTTTATAACATGGGTACGTTTAGCTTTTTTGGAATAATTTTAAACGAATCTTTTATCTTGCACATTTTAAATATCTCGTTATAATTTTTTTTTTAATATTTAAATACATGTTTTTTTTACTGAAATTATCAATATATTATATTCACAAAAATATACAAAGTTTCATTCATTTTACAAAAGAATATTCAAGGCCCTAAAACAACAACACGTAAGTTGCTATGATCCCAAAGTAATTACTTACTAAAGTACTTGTGTTATGGAAACTGGAAACAACGACGGTACCACAAACACCCAGACCCGAGACAATATAGAAAACTTAGTTTATCTACATTGGCCTGGCCGGGGATCGAACCCGGTACCTCAGAGATGGCAACACCATGAAAACCGATGTGTAAAACCCTTCGACCACCGAGGTCGTGGATATCGTTTCATATTCGCAACCTGTGTAAAGCTAAGACATAAGTATATATACAAGTATACCTATGTATACCTATGTGTTTGTATAATTAGCACTTACCACAATCCCCTTTGTAGGCAAGCCGCAAGTCATTTTGGGCGCGACACGCTGTAGAGTCCAATTCGCACTGCGATGCGTAAGTTTGCTTGTCACTTCCACAAACCACATCAGTTTCCTGGTCATAAAAGAATAAGTTTATCTTAGAAAGCGTATATTTCAATCAAAATAAATCTAATAAGACGTGAAGTTGCTTGAACAATGGCGTTCATGCATGCGTACGTATAAATACAGTCTTCTTCTTATCGGATCGGTGGCATACACTGTAATGCTTGCCATGTAATACAGGCAGGTTCGTAAAAATTTCATTTAAATGCATTGAAAATAATATGTTACTGCAAAAATTGTCATGAGAGTTGGTAACTTTCGTTAGGTCTAAAACAGTATATCGAAAATCTGCAAGATAAAGAATAGAAAAAATTACAGGAATATCTAAAAAAGAACAGAAAAATGACACCATATACATTACACCAAAATACATTTTCGTAATAATAACATCGCCACTTCTATTTAAAAATTCAAAATTAATATTTTAGGCCTCGGGAGTGGCAAGAGTCTATAATAGTTATCCAAAATAATAATAACACGGCACGTATTGTTCGTAGGTTCTTGGACCTAAGTCCCTGATACCAGCCGACTGTGTCATTGCTGGGGAATACCGCCACTCCCATTTAAAAATTCAAAAATTAATCTTATAGACCATGGGACAGGCGAGAGTCTAAAACATAATAATATCACTTCGTTCATTACAAAAAAAATATAAAAAATAGAAATAGAAAAGATCCGATTTGACTAGAACTTTAAACGAATCAATATTCATTGAATTAAGAATCTTAAAACTCTAGATTTTTCAATAACGGACAGAGGTTATTGCAGAGACAAAAAGTAAAGATAAAGTACTCGATATATTAAATAAAAGCGAACGAAAAACTCAATTAATGATAGGATAATCAAAGCGATATTATTAAACCAGTTATTATACGGCACATGGGACCTAATATGAACTCTTATTTCCACGCAGTTTACGCCGTAAAGTAAACTGCCTTGTAATTTCGTATTATAAACTGGTAATACCAGCCAGTCAACGGTCATATGATACTAGATTGTCTTCTGCCCGAAGTTTGGCTGGCAATATCGTGTTACAAAGGTTATTTTGACATTTTGTTGACGTTTGATCTGTCAAAAAGTAACAGCAATAAACCATTCAGTTTACAGTGTCTTGGTGTAGCTTTTATTGAATTGTTTTGTATGTAATTTTGAGTTTATATATTTTTAGGCAATCATTTCATCACGTGTGATGAATACGAAATGTTTGAGTATCTCGATAGTCATCACTTTTGTGAAGCCACCTTCACACGATAATAATATGGAAAAAATCCAAAGAAGACAACTGCGAGATCGTAGTGATTCGTTTGAAATGGATGCACAGCAATTTATGAAAAGATACCGGCTTAGCAAAGATGAACTTAAACCGCACATGTCGAGGCCTACAAAATCCACCGATTTATTACTTGAGACTAAGGTTATTTTTCACTAAGGCCAAGTATAATTTCTTGCAATTGAATTTATAGTCAAATAGTCTTAAAATATTATTAACATGTTTTCAACAAACTACAAAGTAAAAATTTACCCGCGGAATTTCGTCCACGTTTGACGTCGTTCGGAAACTTAATTTTCGTTATTCTCTTATTTACAAAAAATAAAATATAGTGTATTGATTTTATTCTAAAACGTCGTTATGCTTATTATTATACAGTGTGATTACTTATTTTCGTACATGAATAATACGTATCTATTATTTTTCTTTTAAACTAAGTGACAAATATAACACCGTAACTTACCGGTAAATATTCTTCCATGTATTTGAACTTTACACTAAAAAGCACGACCTAGTCAAATCCCAGTCATAGACACAACAACTACCGAGGAGTCGGTGAAAAATATGTTTGTCGTAATACGAATTTTATCCAGTTAGTTTTTGGCCATAAAAAAGAATTGCATGGAACTTGAATGTTTTTTTAAAAGTTCATAATACGCCCCCTGGTCGGGATTTAGCCCTTCAATGAATTACGTTGCTTTAATACTGGATTGTGAAATTGTTTCTGAGCCTATTATGTTGATCCGTATTAAAATATTTTCCTGTAATTGTTTAGCAAATTACTGCGAAGTGAAAAACAATTCTTTTTAAATCCTCTTTTACTGTAAACATAAAGGAGGGATATAATAAGGCTTTGTTTTGAGTTAACGTTTAACGAATGTTCATGTCAGAATATTTTAATAAATGCACTAATTTTATGGATTTTAAATTTACGGATTCCGAAGAGGACGATCTACTGGGGATCTTCTTGTATATGCCTCTCACGTATGGAGCGAGGCTGTAGAAGAGCATGGCGAAGCCATTGCAGTGTCTTTAGACATTTCTAAGGCCTTTGACAGGGTTTGGCACACAAGCCTTTTAAGCAAGCTTCCCTCTTATGGGCTTCCCAGTGACCTTTGCAATTGGATTACGGATTTCTTGAGTGAACATTCGATTCGAGTGGTCTTAGAAGGCTACTCTTCCGAACATCGGACGATAGATGTTCCGAAGTTCCTCAGAGTTCTGTACTGTCCGCAACCCTCTTTCTGCTGCATATAAACGATATGTTTGGTGATTCCGGGTACCTTTGGGTATGCTGATGACAGCACAGTTATGGACAGGTACTTGCAGGACCAATGCAAGGGTCAGTGGAGAAGAAATCCAGTTTTGTCGAGAGTCCATGGTTAGTCGTTTGAATTTGACACTTAAGGCAGTCTCCGATTGGGGCGACGCCAATCTTATCAAATTTAATGCTATCAAAAAGCAAGCGTGTCTCTTCTTCACTAAACGGAGTCTCTTTCACCTGACTCCGACTTCTCGTGATATATCCATACCGATAGCCAACCGTCTTCACCTACTTGGAATGGACCTGTCGTCCAATCTGAACTTCGAACGTGAAGCAGTTACATTGAATTCGTGACCAAAAATGCAGCCAAGAAGCTTGGCATCCATTCCAAGGTGAGGCGATACTTCACACTGGGACAGTTGCTTCAGCTGTATCAAGCACAAGTCCGGACGTGTATGGAGTACTGCCGCCACTTATGGGATGGCTCTACTAAATACCAACTGGCCACCTTGGATTCGATAGACAAGCGTAGAGGCGGCGAGTAGAGGCGAAGCTGCAGAGCCTTGAACACCGCCGTAGAGTTGCCAGCTTATCGGTATTCTACAGGATATATCACGGAGAGAGTGCGATGGAATTGCATAATTTGATTCCGCCTTCCCCTTTCCATCATCGTGAGACTAGACGTGGGTGGAGGTTCCACCCCTATGTTGTGGATATTCCCCGGATTCGCACGATGCGTTTCGCTTCCACATTTGTATGGCGAGCGGCTAGGGAGTGGAATTCCCTGCCTGCAGACTTGTTCCCCGAACGCTATAACATGGACCTTTTCAGGCGAGAGTGCTTAGGCATTATTTAGGTGTGCATGCTACATCCTCGACCTCATCGTCATTTTCCATCAGGTGAGATGGTGGTCAAACGCGCACTTATTTTTTATAAAAAAAAATATTTTGTGTGTACGTACATTTTGAACGAATTGTACAACACAATGTTATCAGTCTTTATTATCGTAACAGTTATGCAACTGACTTAATCAAATGTACATTTTTAGATCTATGTTATTTTTATAAGAAATATTGAACTGGATTAATTTATAATGTAGCTTTTCACAACACTGTGACTCGAGTTAAGTGGCTAAATATTTACCAAACCAGCATTTCTAAATAATCGCCCGAAGAAATTCAGCTCATCACTAATGCGTAGTAATAAAGCTTTATTAAAAACAGTGTATTTAGGATGCAAGGAAGACCTTCCGTACAGGAAGGAATGGTACCTATGTCGTGCTAGAAGACCTGCTAGAATGGCTCACTCTTCTGCACCACAATCGGCAAGTACTTTACGTGGGAAATCCTTACACCATGGTAATCATTATAATGTATGTCATCGATACGACAAGAAGAATCTATAGCGAATTACAAAACGTTCACCTGTATAATATTGGAAATGAAAGTATTTTCTCGGGTCTAAAATCGCGTTTTGTTTTTTTCGAACAAATTAACGTTTCCGGCTCTTTACAGGTCCCATGGTCACGGCTGACTGTTGAATATATTGCAGCATTTTGGTAATCATAATAAGTGTTATAAACATTTACTTTACCATCTTATACCATGGTACTCTACCGAATTCCGCTATAACAAGTATAGAGCTATCTTGTTTCATGTATTCAACGTTTTGAAGCAAATTATGTGTAACATAAGATTTAAAGTACTATAGTGCAAGAATTTCAATCGTAAGGCGGCTTCCCATGACACCGTCCGTGATTTTATAGATTTCGTCATACGGTTGACGACCACCGACCGCTACACACCGCCGCTGCCTTTTCATAATAATAAATAACCAATCGCTTAATTTCCGCCATGCACTGATGTATCTATCACGCGGCAGCGTTACCACAGAACAAGTCTCTTCGCTCGTGGCGCACCTTAACAATCACATGAATATTATGGTATTGTGGCGATGGAGCAGACGACGGGTATAATTTTGGTGTGCTTGTATATTAAAATTTCTCAAATAACTTCTACCGTAAATGATTATTACTAATTTCAGGCTTCTTACCATGGTATGACTTCTTTTTATTTTCCCCATATTTTGGAACGGTTCCACGCTCCATGGTCACGGGTTGACTGGACGGCGGCAGATGACAGCTTTGAGAGCAGACATATCTGTCTACCCTCTTGCGATGTCGACGACTACTACCTTCATCGCGATTTGTTGTGGCGTTACCATTGTCACTCACTTTTTTCACACAAAACCACAGTCACTGTATCCACACGCGAAACTGAACTCGAGGTGTTTTTGTTTTTATTACTGCACGCACTAAGGACTGGATTCCATGCACTGGACAGTTCAAAACAGTCATCACGGTTAAATGTTTTGTACTTCGTGATCTCGATGGCTTCTCGTACCAACCGTCGTATGTAGTGACGTTCTGTCGACAGTACCTCGGGGCTATGCAACTCGATCCAGTGGTTAGTGTCAGTCTGTGTGAGATGTTGTGCTATAGCCGACTTCTGTGCTTCATCGTTTTTTACTGCTCGGATGTATTCCTTCATACGATCGACAATTGTTCGTTTAGTCTGACCGATATACGAGCTCCCACAACTACAGTTCACTCTATAGACACCCTGTGTTTGTAGGGAAGGTGGTTTTTTGGTGAATGTAACATTTTTCCTATTTTGGTTAAGGGAGTGAAAACAGTTTTTATGGAAAACTTCCTTAACAACCTGGCTATTTTATCTGTCACACCTTGTACATAGGGCAAAAAAACTGGTAGTCTCTGTACATCAATTTGCTTCTTTCTTTTGTGTATTGGTTTACATGTTTTTATTTCGTATCCATTCTGTTGCAAAACCATCTTAACGTGCTCCTGTTCCTGTGGTGGTGTGGAGGTGGTGTGCATCACAAAGATCATAATAAGCTCTATTGGTTAATGACCTGACGACCGGATGTAGGTGTTTTGGGTGACGATGTGTAGTGGCATGTAAATATTTATACATGTGAATTGGTTTTGATGAATGACTGAGTGAACCCCGTCGGACTTTGACCAATATGCAAATGCATCCAAAAATGCAAGCGCGCGATTTTTCTCAATTTAACAAGTGAACTTCATTTTGTTATGTGTGTTGTTAAGATATGCTAAATAATTTTAAAAGTAGTTGTCGACAGCGCAAGAGGGTAGACAGATATGTCTTCTCTTAAAGCTGTCATCTGCCGCTGTCCAGTCAACCCGTGACCATGGAGCGTGCAACCGTTCCGAAATATCGAGAAAATAAAAAGAAATCATACCGTGGTAAGATGCCTGAAATTAGTGATAATCATTTTGTAAATAACCACGAAAGCCTTAAAATCTATATAACTCCCACAGTGTTTGACACTGTTGCGAGTACTAAAGATACTTTTTTTTCGCATATGAGCACTGGCAATGTTATTTTATGTTACAGTTTTATGATTGTTATAATACTGTGTTCTTTATCATCCTCTATAACTTGATCACAAATGTGTAGCAAGTCCACTATTTGAGGACCTAAACATTCGATAAATAGATCACCTTAAAAAAGTTTTAGAAAAAAAAAGTTGCCTTGTTTTAAACTGTCTCGATTTTCACACATTATTTGATTTTTAATTCGGGACTTAATCACGTATCTATAAAACATTATGGATGTTGTAATATGTCCGAAACGTCGAGGTAAATAAAATATGTTTTATACGCGATTAAGTCCCAAATTTAAAATCAAATAAAAACGTTGCCATTTAGCTATTCTTAGAAAAACATGGCATGTATTAAACGCCACAAATAAGGAAAGTGGTTCCGTAAACAAAATTTATTTTGGTGCGTAAGATCCGGACGGTTTGGAAAAGTTTATTGTAATTGGCAGCTGTTGCGATTTTGAATATAGTTATTTTGTAGAAATACTTCAGAAAGTTCAGATATAATGTGCGTGTTCTATAAATTTTTAGGAATCCAATTTTTTTGATATGGCTGCCATTTTGTCCTGTAGCGATTCATTAGTAGTAGCTAATTTAAATTACTAATAAACCTGAAATAAATGGGAGGGCATAAAAATTTTGTTTTTAAGTAACTTACGAAATGCTCTATGAAAATAATCGCAAGTGAAATTCATTGTATATAGTCACGCACAACTCAGTTCTCAACAGCTGTACGTTGTTGTGCGAAATTAGTAAAGTATTTACTTTCCAGAACTTCTCAAAGCTTGCTTTTTAATTAACAAAGCACACGCAAGTCTCAAAAAAAAAATAAACGAGAAGGCCGTGATATTAAAGTAACTACGACCCTCACTAGTAGTATCAAATAGATCCTAAGCGATGTCTTTAGGAGCTTTACGTGACCTTATTGTGTTATAAGAGATACAAAAACCACTCCTATATCAACAGTAACAACATAAATATACTATATACGTACTTATAAATGACTTCATCATGTTCTAGCACTATAAAAGCTAAGTAAACGTGTTATATTTACAGCGTCTTTATATAACACTTATTACTCCGAATGGAAAGGTTCTAACTAGACTTAGAAGATGGACTTTTGCGGGTTGGGTAAATATTTAAAGTCAGTCTGATGACATGATCGATTATTAGTCGCTCATAGTCAACTTACCAAAGGCATGGAACAGTTGTGGTTACAAAGACACACGGGACGTCCGGTGTCAGGGTCCACGGAGCAGTCGCCGCCGCCTTGGCATACGATGTCGGCACACGTTTCTGCACATAACAGAATAACAGGTTGTTGTTAAGTGACTACTGGTGATAGTACCCACCTGTGTAGGTGTTAGTGTTTTACCTATTTATACCGCAAAGCAGCTTTTCTGTGTGAAGACGACTTACAATCCTGTCTCATAGAGAACAACACATTATACTGTCTCAAAAGTGAATACGCGACAGTCACTAATTTTCATCGCGTGAATTCGCGAGAAAACACTGAAATATGACAACAAACTGCGGGGACTAAAATAAAGGGCTTTTTTGTGAAGCTCACTAGTTCAGTTTTGTAATATGATTTTTGCACCTAACTCAATGTTTGTCGCTTTACAACGTAGTCGTTGCCAGTCCAATTACTTAATAATATAGTTCTACGATTCCAATTTGTTATAGGAGCCATTTGCGCATATTTTCTGCTATCTCTTTGTATTTACCATACGTTGTTAGTCTGTGTAATAAAGTATATTTATCGTATTTTAATCCGAGCCAATTGATGACATGAAATTAACGTTGTAAATGTAAACATAGTCGTTTTTCCTTCATTGTCAGATTTGTTAATAAAGAAATTGAACGAATGAAATATTATTCATTTAATATTATAATGACGATTTAAAACTGTAATGTAATATAATAAATAGTCATTTCCTTCAGGCAACCTAAGGTCAGTAAAAGGTACATTTTTTAGTTAATGTTTAAATTGCTTTTTGGATAAAATCTTAGTTTTCCTGAAACGATTCCAAAAGTTAAATAAGAACAAGTATTTAAGAAATATAAAATTCAAACAAAATTTTTATTCATAATTTCTTTATACTTGCTAAGCCCAAGTACAAGAACGATGATTGATTTATTAATTGTTTGATGAAACGCCATTTTGTAAATTTATTGGCAAGTCAGACATCCGTCTTTTGAAATTGTTTAATTAAAGCTTAGCAGAACGAAAGATAAAATATAAAAACGTTATCTTTAAAACTTTAAACAAAATCCTAAACTTTCGTTTAACAAATGTTTACGATACCTGTAAAGATACATAGTATTTGTGGTGTTTACCCTTAGAGGCAGAATGAGGAAGAAAGTGATAAGAGAATTTTGTGGTGTGAAAGATGATATAGTGACAAGAATAAAAAAGGGAATGCTTGGGAGGTTTGTTCAAATGGAAAGTATGAATGTCAGTAGAGAAACAGTACAAATTTTTACAGTGAATACAGATGGAAACGCGAGAAAAGGTGTACCCTACAGAAATGGTGTTACTACCGGTAGAGCTCTCTTTGATAGAGTTCGTCCAAGGAAGCACTGTCATCTTACCTATTTCTGTCATCAAGTAGTAATGTGAGCGTTCCTGTCTTCGGGTTTTGAAGGGTAAGGTGCTGGTGAAATTATAGGCACACGGGTCTTGCCAGCTTAATTTATGTCTCAAGGTGATGAATGCAGTTGCAGTATCAATCAGATGTTTGTATTTTAAAGCGCTGAATAGCACTGTAACTACCATCAATTGGCGGCAGAAATAGGTAAGGTGGCAGTACTTCAATGGGCGATCTCTTTCACAAGGAAAGGTCTCTACTGCTACTACTGACTATGATAGGCTATTGGCACGACTTAACCTTCACTGCGTTCACGGAGAAACAAATTAATTTACTTCCATTTTTATTAACATGGATTTCGGCAAAGTACCGCCTGATTCTAATTATTAATTTTATTAATAATTACCAACATTGCAAACGGCATAAAATTTTAGGAGAGATTTAATACGTATTTGCACCCTTGTCAATTTCTGAAATCCTAACGAAAGAAACCCTAAGGTTTCGTCTAGGTTGTACTCACGGGCTAAGTGACATTTTGCAATATTACCATAATACAAGACAAAAATTCAAAAACGTATAAAAATTTAATGAATGTTACAAAGGAAAAAAGTTCTAATATTTGGATCTGTAGACTTTCCGCTACGGGCAGATAGGTAGAGTCTTGTGTGCGGTCTCAGCAGTACTGATAAAAACAGTTATATACTAGCAATTGCATTTTCCCGTTCTTTTTATTATGATTCAACATTTTCTTAAAAATTATATTGTTTCATTGTAAATAAATTTTTACTTGTGAGCAGTAAAGCTTTCAAAGTATTTGCGACGTATTTCAATTTAAACAACAACAAATTAAATATTATTGCTCGAATTGAATACTCTGCTTAATAAAAACAATGATAATTTTTGGATTCGTGAATATGCTTAGCGTTTCGCTGACATACGTTAAATATTTGAGGTTTAAAATTCAAGTTGTCCGTGTCACTAGTAGCTGCCAATAAATCTCTCAGTGCGTAACATTTGGGGCACGATTTACTTATACCTATACTTCATGCCCTTTTCCCATCGGGGTAGACAGAGACAACAGCCTACCATTTGCTACGATCCTGACACATATCTATCACATTATCAACACGCATCAGTGTTTTATGAGCTCGTATAAAAGGTACTCGTCTGTTAAAGGAACTCTTGAACTGGCCTTCTTTTAAACTGTCCTCAATTTGGTTATGGTAAATTCGCCTCAATCGGCATGATTTATGGTAATCAATAATAATAACGATTTATCTGAGCACTAAGAAACACGTCTTACAAATCATCAAATAAAGACTACGCTGCAAAAACCATGTTATTGAAATAAACAAGATGTTGTTTTTTATGGCACCAAGTCTGAACGAGCATGTTGTGCGCCTGGTGGTAAACGAACACGCATAACAGTTGCAATGCCACTAAGAGCTTCCAATCGCAAAGTTCTGAGAAGCACTGCTACCGCGCCCTGAGACATAAGTTAACAAGTCCCATGTGCCTGCATTTTCACCAGCACCCCTACCATTCAAAACCGGAACACAGTAATATTTCGCGGCAGAAATAGGTAAGACGGCAGTAGGTTCCCGGGCGAACCCATCCACAAAGAGCTCTATTACGACTAAATGGAAACTTAAACTTTGTATTATAAATAGAAATTGGCCTAGACCGAAACATGTCAAGCGCAAAAATTCGGCTCAGATCCGTGAGTTATCTGTTAGTTTATATAATGTCTTTCACATGTGTTTGCAATGTAGTATGTGAGTTAATTCAGACTCCCTAGCCTATTTAAAAACTTCCAAATCTCTCTTCAAGAACAAAATCAATTAGATACGAGCTAAACAGCGTTTCTTACTACAAAATAGATTATCTAAATTTACTTTGATAACGTCGGTAGCAAAACTTAAGCCTGGACTTCTGAAGATGACAATCTGTAATTAAGTGTCATAGTGATAAAGATGCTGTTGACTAACGTTTTTCCAGTTTACGTAACAAAGTTATTATCGGTAGAAAATTAATTCTGCGGCAGTTGCTCATCAATCTGCGTCCAGACCAATTTCCCATTGAAGCGGTTTTAATCTCTAATTGACATTTTAACGCGTGTTGTAAACGATAGGTTCCGTACAATTTATTAACCTGTTTCATTCAGTAAGCGGAATAAATGACCACTGTAGTCACCAGTCACCCGAGGAATATTTAAAATAATGGACAGTGTAAAAACTGCTTAATTTATTTCGAGTGATACTCTCGGTCCTGGAACGAAATGTTCACATTTCGTGTCAATTTATTTAGGAAATAAGTGAATTGCCATAGATGTATTTTGTTTTTATTACAAATAAAATAAGCAATTTAATTCACATAAAAGGCGAACGTATGAAAATGAATACGCTCTTATATAATAAAAGAGCTACGAGGTTCGTAGCAAATGGCTACGCCGCTATGGCCCCGTTTCTTTAGTAACCTAAATAAATCTCAATTTACATTCAGAGTAACAAATTGTAAATACCGTTAATATTACGAGCATTCAAAATATTTTCTTTATGAAAACATCTTTACCGCAAAAGAATCCCGTGCACCTCTTATAGACAATTTCATAAGAGGAAAAGATTTTCATCAAGGGAAATTGATAGCAATTTTTCCTCTCGAAAGAATTTTATAATTTATTTCGTCGTTACCTTCAAAATTCGCCATTGTGGCGACAAGACTTTCATTTAAATGACTAATGAAAGTATTCATTTAGCGACGTTGGAGTGAAAATACTACCTCACATTAAAATTAAATCACGATATATTTTTGCCTTCACTTTGTGAAATCTACACAGATATTATTAAAGAAAAAAGTTACTATAGTAAAAACATTACTATTAAAGAAAAAAGTTGAAAATCTACTCACGACAGGTTCCATTGTAAAGGACTTTGAGATCTCCTTCCTTAATTCCTTCTTGACAAGCGTGCATACGCATCTTACATTCGCTGCCGTACGTATTGTGGTCGGACGCGCAGACTGGCGCAAGAGTCGCGTCGCACACCGGACAGGCACACTGCGCGGATCCTCCCCTAGATATACACGCTCCACCCCAAGGACAGGTTACTCGGGCGCATGGATTTTCTTCACCTAGAGAAACAGAGACCAGTCTGTCATTACTTAAGAAATATACATATAGTATCATATTGATATTTCTGTGTAATAGTCGTAAGGCCTTCACAATCGTTGTATTTCTTATAGAAATAGATTAGACTTAGACCACAGAATAGTAATACCCAAGTATGATTCAATCCTTCGAATGATTTGTAATTTTTATGTGCCTCATCATTAACCAATGTGCAAGTCATGCTCACCACAAGGACCGATGTAAGCCACTCTCACGTCTCGATTATCAAGACAAGCAGCTCGATCCAACAGGCAAGGGCTTTCGTACGTTTTTCCATCCGTACCGCATACAGGCCTTACGGATGTTTCGCAATCCGGTCCGCAACCGCATACGGCCACGCCGCGCGCATCCAGCGTACATCGTTCTCGTACACCACACTTCACTGATTCACATGGGTGTTGAGCTGTATCGGAATGTGAAAAAACCGTTTGTCAGAATAAAAACAAAAAATACCAGCCGTATTCGCTATTGAGTTTTTGTTCAACCCCATACGGGTAATGTTCACGTTTACGACCAATGACTCACAAAACTGTATCAGTCTAAAATTCATAAAGTTATGATTGTTGAAATAAAAGCGGATGAATTCGAAATTGAAATCGACGAACAATCGATAATCGATATCGAGAGATAAAAAAATCGAAGTAAAATTAAATAAAAAGGAATTTGGACATCTCATAAATAAATAATCGGCGCATGCTAAATCTTAAATACTATAGTTATTGTTTACCTATCAATTATTTTTGTTTGGGCTAACATGACGTTTCAAAAATTGTGCCCAATTATTTCTTTATAACAAAGTAATTTTTAACAAAACGACATTAAAAAACTCGCTTAATGTTTCCAAATAAAGATTTAATTTTAGAAGACGAGGTTTTTTTTAAGTCTACTCAACTATTGTATTATTGCTATTCTTGAATATAATTCTATTGTTAATTTCTTATTCATTCCGTTGTCCAGTAGAGTTCTTTTTTAAAAGAATTTAATAGATTTATTCAGATGAAATTGTTATTTTTGATAATTTAGAAAATTCTGTTATGTTTTATCAGTTATAAATTATATAGATCCTCTATTTTATTAAGAACACAAGAATTGTTTTTGATTTATGTTCCGGTAAATTTCTTACGATAAACATTTCACGACATAATAGATATTCAGATGACATATACATAAGACACTCGTCCTTTCGCGCTTGGATCTAGAAGCTAAACTGTCGTAGTAACGCTACTCGTATAACAGTGACTACTATGGTGAACTTTACTGTGCAGGTTAAAAATTGCAAAAATGACAAAAAGAATTACTAAAGAATATATTTATACCTGAAGAGCACTCTCCTCTATAAGCAATTGTAAGTTGTTGTCTTGTTATACATGATTCTCTTCTCAACGCACATTCACTGGGATAGTCTTTGAAATCCGATCCACACACAGCTGAACCAGGACGAGCTTCCAAATTACATGGTGGACCGCATCGACACATCGGTACACGCGCTTCGTTCAATTGACACACTCCACCATCTGCACATTGGTGGTCTGAACATGGATCTAAACACAAGACATAACAAAAATGTATATAAGTTGCTCCTGTTAGTAATCACATGTAACAAATTTTGAAAAAGGTTCTATTTCTGTTATGATTATGAATACAAAGATCGAAGATACAGAAAAATTTCGTCGACCCGGTGGGACTTGAACCCACGTCCATGCTGCACCGTAGCCGTAGTCACCAACTGAACTACGGGTCCAGTTACCGAACCGTCAAAATTCTGCTATTTTTTTTATTATACTATTGTTTTTGTTAAATATCTTTGTACTGGCTTTCGGCATTCCTCGCCGCTAGTGACATCTAGTAAGAGATTTTTTTAATAACCTCCTCACCGCAACCGATACCTTTACAAGTATAACAACTGACGCAGATGTCGCTTTTCGATCAAATTGAGATTTTTTGCGAAATAACTCCGCAAGTTTTGGTTCACTCTGGTTCTATATCCGGTTTGACAGTATTGGTTTCTGTTTAACTGAGTAACAAGTATGTAAAAAAGAGTAGCTATATTCCTGCTGTCTCAGTGGTATTACAAAGCTACCTGTTTACATAGTAATATGCATGACATTACATAATCTCGAAAAACTTCACATTTCTAGGTTCTTTGTCATCAATTTATAGAATTTTGATTGAAATATACTATTGATTTAAGATATAGTGTTCCGTTTTTGCCTTTAAATAAAAATAAATTCGAAAATTTGTACGTGTTCTTAATGTTACGCAAATTTCAACTTTTCGTTGTCCTTGATCACAAAATCAAAGTTTTTAATGTTTTTATGATAGAACTGATTACAAAATGGCATTGATAACCCAGAATGTGTAGTATAGCTTAATCACTTATGTAGAGCTTACTTACTTAGTCTACACTGAGTTATGGTATGAATAATTATATTTAAGGCTTTGAATTTCTTAATATATAAGTGCTTGCAGCTTTGTTGCAATCCATGCTATCGTTTACAATTCTAAACAACAGTCATGAAAATTAAAAAACGACTTTTTAAGGAGAAAAAGAAGTCGTGCACAAAGACCGAAACGAAATTGTAAGAATCGTGTCACACAAATGGCGTAAAGAAACAGATGAAACAATTTAATAAAAGCACGAAAGCGAACTAGTAAAGTAAACAGAATTTCACAAAGGACGTCAGAATGTGCGGGCTTGGGTTTTGTACAAATTTAGTTCAGATCGAATAGGACAAGTTCGCTGAAAAGGGTTAGCAAATGTGTGTCAGATGAAGAGGACGAAATTAAATTACTTTTATGATAAAAGAAAGGAAGTGACCCAATTTCTTAGGGAAAAAAATATTTTGCGGATATATATTACAGATACTAGAGTTGTGGCAAGTTTTAGGTGCTCAGGCTTCCTGGCTGGTAATTTATTACGTTCCATTATTGAGATTATAGGGACAAGAGATTTATGGGGACACAGAGTTCTCCGTTTGGTAGGCTCAGTCAACCGTTGAAAGTTTATGACACAGTCTCTCGTCGATAAAAGGAGTGCCAGCTAACTCAATTCAACGCTCTTAAAATTGAATAACAAACGAAAAATACATGTTTTTTTTTGAATATCGTTATCTTTGAAGTTAGAATTCGGTAAAAAGATACTTTTATATATATCAAATCAATGAATGAAGGAAACCTTTACTCATATATTCAATAAAAATGTTCTCGTAAATAAAATATACGAGCGTCGAGGGTGTTTCTATTGATATGTACGAGTATCCATATAACATCGTTATTCACATATTACGAATAGAGAACGATCGGCTTCACAATAGTGAGTTCTTTTCAATAAAGGGCTTGACATACGATGTGTCATCTTGCCATGCACGTTTCCCGGGTGCGATTTCATTCCGCCACGTCATCTACGGGGGCAAAATGAAATGTTGACCCTTTTTGTGCGCCGCCGCCTCTATTATAAGTGACCTCTTCTTAACGAGTTCCTTTTATACTTCAAAAGATCGCCATCAACAATACACGACCATTAGTTTTAATTAATTTACCCTTTTAAGGTGAGTGGTGGAATTCATTTTTTGTTAATTTAACGCTGGCTTTAATTAAAAAATCTAATTATCTCAGTCTTAGTATGTTAGGAGCGTAATGGATGGGGGGGTCTCTGCCTACCAGTGGTAGACAGACGTAATGATGTATTTCAATAGCAAAAGAAAATTTTGATAGGTGCTAACGAAAAAGACGAAACGAAGGTAGTCTTAACAAGAACGGATATAAAGACCTATCTGTAGTATATGCAACTTGACATACCTACACACTGTCTCGTATCCATGCGTGTGTACACCCAGTCAGTATCACGAGAGCCTTTGGCAAGTGTGGACGGGTTGTTAGGTCATGCATGACATTGCCAAGCCAATGTAGTTAGGGTTTAAGGACAGGAGAAAAACATAACACCATCTAAAGAAGCCCATACATACAGAAGCGCACGACACGCACGCACGCACGCACGCACGCACGCACG